ATATAAACATATCTACTTTTTATTTTGTGTTAACATTACAAAAATTGTGACTTATACAATTATTAATTATAATATATATGCCATTGTTTATATAATCTTATAATATATATACTTAAAGAAAGCTCTTGAGATTAGAATAGTTTTGGAACCTAAATTTTTTTTAATTTCATGAAATTAAGAACAAATCCTTATAATTAATTAAATTAATTCATGAAACTAACATTATTAATTAACTTGTAATGTCATTTAATGTATATAGTTTATATATTGAGTTAATTTATAAGAAATATAATTATTATTATATATATACTAAAATATTTTTAGTATATATATACTTTAAATATAAACATATTTACTTTCTATTTTGTGTTAACATTACAAAATTATAACTTATAAAATTATTAATTATAATATATATAACTTTGTTTATATAAACTTATATAAACCTAAAGAAAAGTTGTGAGACTAGAATAGTTCTTAAACTTAGTTATTTTTTTAATTTTATGTAATTCAGAACAAACTCGTATTGTTAATTAAATTAATTCATAAAACTATAATTATTAATTAACTTGTAATGCCTTTTAATACATATACTTTATATATATATATATTAGATTCAATTATAAGAAATATAATTACTATTTTATATATATTAAAATATTTTTTATGTATGCGTGTGTGTGTGTGTGTACATATGTACTTTAAATATAAATAGATTTACTTTTTATTTTGTGTTAACATTATCAAAATTATAACTTATAAAATTATTAATTACAATATATATACTTTTGTTTATATAAACTTATAACATATAAATCTAAAGGGAAGTTAGGAAATTAGAATAGTTAATTGGGTAATTGGGTACCTATGAAGTAGATTTTAATAATTTTTTTATCTGTTCTGATGTTTAAACGGGTTAGGGTAACTATAAGGTAGTGGGAATGTATTAAGGTTAGAGTTAGGGTAGTAATTTTTAAAATTATTGGAGTAGTTAATAGGGTTAAGATTCGAATACCTCGAAATTAATAGGTATCCTATCCATCAACATCCCTAAATATGATATATATAAAATTCCATTCTAAGTAAAGTACTAGATACCCATGATGGTAAAGAAAAGCTGAGTAATATACTCATAATAGATCCATAACATACACTTGTTAAAGTGCTTTAGTTACAAGGGCATTGTTGATAAGATCTACCTATGTAGGTATGAAATGTGGTCATTTTTAAGAGTTGAAGAGCTTTAACTCTAATAACACTCATGAAAAAAGGATGTTGACACTTGGCCATAAAAGTGTCACTCGATATTGTGCATTCATTGGTGTTAAAATCATTGTGTATGATGTATCAATTAATCAAATGGAATAACTAGTTCAATACATAATCTACTGAGCAATTTCGGTTAATTTTAATTGTTTTCACTAAATAAATGTTCAATCAAAAAACACCTTTATTTATTTAATCAGTTTTCAAGATTATAAAAAATTTAAATTATTTTGAAAGTAGTGAGATATTGTTGGACATTTTCAACAATAATAAGTGTGGGACACAATCCCACATTGAAAGAAATTAAATAAAAAGAATTATTTAAATAAATAGGAGAATAAGTTCCTAATAGTTGGACTAAAATGGAGCTAAAGTGCAAATTGGACCATGGTTGGACTTTCTAAGCTTGGTATTGAAATGTAATAAAATTATTTTAATAATTCATAATTAATCTATTACAAAGGTACAATTGTAGTTAATTAAATAATAAATTATACTTAAGTTTAATTTTTTAATATTTATATTGGAAACAAATAGTTATGTATGGTCTCTCCAGTACCAAAGCACTCACAAAAACAACTTAAACAATCTTTCCTTCCTTTCTCAATATTTTTTAGATTTCTTCTATACTATTTCGCTGTAAAAAAATTATATAAAAGTTTGATAGTCTTCATGCACCAGTGAATGCTCAGTAGATTGATTTTGTTAATACAAAACACAATCAATCACTTGGTTTCGTTATAATATTGAGGTTTATCGCCTATAACTTTTTGGCACACTATCAATGAGGGCAAATAAAACCTTAAGAACAATGGCATTGATGCATACCTTAAAATCATTTCATTGTTCCCTGTATTTTGCAGTCTTGTGTTCTAACCAACAATTAACAGTTTTAATTGTTTTGAGTGATTACAGTTTGACATTCTAATGCATAATAGAAAGCCAGTAACCAGCACCTAACAATTTTTCTGCCTAATTTTAGGATGATTGATTGATGAATTCACCATTATCTTTTCTTTGATTGTTGATGATTTTTTTTTTTTCCAACTATTCTAATCTGACTAGGACATGAGCGAAAGAAAAGACAAGAAATTTGCTCCTATATTCAGTAGCCGCACCATTTGCGGCAGAAATTTGTTCAGAAAACGAATCAACGCAATCTTTGAATATAATAAATTTGGTCCACCATCCCAACAACAGTTTAAAGTATGGAATTCAGTCATAGAAACACTACAACTTAAGTTGGCTACTGTAAAAAAGATCAATGCACTTAAGGCTTTTGTTCTTGTTTTGCTTTATAGCCACTTCAAACAAGGGTATTTTGTAATTTACCATATTTCTTCCCTGGCATTATAAAGTGTTTTTTCTTTTGAACAACTCAATGTCATCCGAAATAACATCATGGCTGGAAGTTGTATCATTTTCTCCTACTCAAGTGATCACTGGGAAGTTCTAATATGTTAGGACAGCTTGGCAATATCTACTATAACAGCACTGGTTCTCAAGTATTTTTTTCATTTTAAGATGGTTTTCACATACAACCTTACATTTTTCAATAACAAAATATCACTTTCGTTCATATGTTGTTGGAATATTACATATGACCTATATGGGGAGCATTTACACATCAAATAAAATTCTATGGGCAAGGGTACGTTTTGCCTGAATGCAGATCATTCATACCATATACTGCAAGGCCAAGGTCTGGGGTTGATTTAGTTAGTTTCGTATCCTGGTAAAAGTATCAGCAGGCTTCATACATGATTTATTGATCGCCATTCAATGTTAAAAGGTAATGACAAAGTTCCTTATTTTATTTACAACAAATATCCTCTGCATCTTGTGTCCTGCCCCCAAAAAATATTTGTTTGCTTTAATATTCTGACTATATTTTAGCTCTCCATTAATATTAGGCTAAAGTTAGAACTTACAGTTATAACTGCAATCTCTCACGGGGTAGAAAGAGCCTATTGCTGATCATCTGTAGCTCAGAATATGCTAGCTAGTCATATAATCAAATGACATATGATTCTAAGTTTAAGGGTGATAGTAATTAGTTCGATCATCCCTATTATCGACAACTCTAGCCTAATATTCAGACATTTATACTTGTAGTGGGGATCCATGAGCCCTCTGGATGCAGCATGCAGCTAGGAGTGCACTGGTTGTAGCAGGATGGATTCCGATGAGCTATTAATTTAATGATGACACTCGCATCTCAAAAGAGCTTGAAAGGATTATCTGCAAACTATATGCAGTTCTAGGGAATGCATGCATACCCCAATCCTTACTGCTGCGGTTCATGTACATACTGGTGAAAGTCGGTCCTCACTAATGAACCTACCTTGTATAACAATCAGATTTTCAGGAGGTCGCTTTGGCCTGTAACTCTTTATAGTTTCTACATATCTCACGCTTCAGCCGCAATTGATTCAGTGTAGTTAAAAACATTAGTTGTGCCATACAAACATATGTATTAGTATTCAATTTTTAATGTAAAGACACGAGAAAAACTCTGATCAGTTGTTCATATCAGAAGTCACATTTAGAGCTAGTTTTGCTTATCAACTACTAGCTGCCCCAAGATCTTGAACTTCCATTTTATCAAAATTTTACAACATTTAACTATGTAAAACCAAAACTGACCCTATTTCTTTCTTCTTACCTAGACTAATTATGCTTTCACCAATGATCGAGATGCACAAGTTTAAGACAACCTTAAAGCTACTTGTATGGTTCACTACAAGTTGTAATCTGCACATATAATACAAAATTGAAACTCAAACGATAAGATATGTTCCTGGAAGATACAAACATATATAACTACCCTCCTTTTCTGCTACCATATACAGCAGAACGTCTTTTTTCTATAAAGATACATGATTCTAACTTTATAATTATGGCAGCTCGCGCATTGTTGAATTGTGAGAGAGACGAAATAGAGATTGTTATGCAGTTTTCAAGGCAGCTAATATAATTGGCTGTCAAGGCTATGTCCGCCTCAGACTGATCAGCAGCCAAGATGATTTTGATATGCTGATAGAACGTTAATCTAAACAAAGTAGTCTCAGAGGAAGATGGAGCCAAAAGTGTGTGAAGAATATGACCAACATTTGGTAATGAAAAGCTTCCTACATATTCTATTGCTTGTTGTACAGAAACATGCCTAGAAGGTGGTAATGTAACCTATTGGCCTTCAGATGAGAAGGGGAATGTCTGTTGACCTGATGTCAATGTGGCTCCTAATTCCATAATCACTTGTTCAAACCTGGAAATATATGTTGTTGAGCACTCATATGGATATTCCCACTATGTATTCTTTTATCTCTAAATACTTACAGAAATTGAAAATATGTTTACATGTATTATCAGCTATATATATAACCAATCATTCAAACTCACTCCTCTCAAACACTGTGTTTATATCCAGATGTACTACCAACTGAATGCAAACGAATGTCCGTCATCAGAATGAATTGGTATTTATGAATCAACCACATCTTGGAATAACAATAATTGTGTGGTTGAGTTAAAACACTGTATATATTGGCTTTACATATGGTTAGCTTTCTTAAAACATTCACTATCTGTCATTGGCATTCAAAGCCCACTCAAGATCCCTTCAATGCTTGTCATCCTTGTCATTATAGCAGACCACTAAGGAGATAAACAGCGCCCCCTCAATCTTTAAAATATTTGAAAGCATCTCCAAGGGAATATTAACATTGATCATTTTATCTGTTTTTCATTTTAAATAAAGGCAAATTTTCTTAATTATGAGAAGCCTCAAGAAAGAGAAGCATGGCCAACATATATAGCTCCAAGTACATAGTACTGTCTCTGGTGGCTTCTCCAATTCTCAATCTATTGTTTATCATCAATCTTTATGCTAGTGGAAATTGGAACCTGAGTTGGACTTTTCAAGCTGCAACAGAAGCTGAGGCGGTGGCAGCTATATCCTGCTCAGGCCATGGAAGAGCATACCTGGATGGTTTGGTCTTTGATGGAAAAGAACCTCTTTGTGAGTGCAACTCATGCTATGCAGGCTCTGACTGCTCTGTTTTTATACCTGGTTGTGCTGCAAATGCAGATGGGTACCCTCCCCCCTCTCTCTCTTACACACACACACACACACCAAAGGTATCAGAAACTCTTGTCAGCTTGTTGTTTAAGATAACTGTTCATAATTGAAATTTGTTTAATTGACAAACTCTGGGTATGATAGCCGTGAACGAATTCCAGAAAATAGCTTTGACTGCATTTTTTTTTTTTTTTTTGAGATCTCAAAGAATTTTTAGCTTTGAAAAGAAAGTATCTTAAATAACTTAGTTTGGTGTGATCAGAAATAATCTATACACGGTAATCTTACCTATCTAATAGTATCAAGAGAAGTTACTACAGTTAAGATTCTCCAGCCAAGAAATTGACACCTTGCCGATTTGATGTTTTGCATAAGGATTCCCTTGGAAGGATTATCACTTTTCTTGATGCAGCCACATCCTGAGATTATATTATCTGTTTCTTAGTGAAAAATTTATGGAAAAAATCAAATGAAGTAATCAATGATGCTTTGATAGACAACAATGACACGTTCAAAAATGGTAGAGGAACATGCAGTAATTCTCGTTGTCAAATGATTTTATGAAATTTCAGCAATTATTTTCTCAAACATTTTCATGAACAGATCATTTTTATTCCAAATATTGAGTTAATGTTATATAAACGGCTTACAGATAAAGAAAAACCAGTGGCTGCCATCACGCTTGAATGTAGACCATGCTTATGATATACAGCCAGGGCATGCTGCGGCATTAATTTGCTGATTTGCTACCTTTGATTTTCTTTTTTAACATAGTAAAAGTATTAACACTTTTCTTTCATGGTTCATTTCAATTGTTTAATATTGAAAGGTGCACTAGAATCAGGGGAACCTACCCTGAACAAATTTCATAGCTTGTCTATTAAGTATTAGGCTGACCCCATCAACTTCATTTTACAGATGACTGATCTATCTAAATTCATCTCTCTATGTTGTCACTGCGGCTGCCTTTGGTTGCTTTGTTGCTACATGTTTTTAGCTATTTGCTTTTTGTGATTTAGATCTTTTACCTACGCAACAATTTTCAATGCTTGCTGAATGCTGAGCATATGTTCAGTCTTACAAATCTGCCTGATCCTATACCTTTGCGTTGGTAGCTCTTCTGATGACACACTTCTCACTGCAATCTATCGTCGACAAAGATCATAACGATCCTATCAGGACAACCAATTTTTCAAACACAAACTCGTATTTGCAGGGGGGATCCGCTATTTTTGGAACCTTTCTGGGTGCAGCATGCAGCTAGTAGTGCACTGCTAATAGCAGGGTGGCATCGAATGAGCTATACATTCAATGATCACACTTTTATCTCACAAGAGCTAGAAAGGCTCATCCGCAGGCTACACGCTGTGGTAGGAAATGCAGTTACAGACAAGAGGTTTATAGTTTTTGGTGCTGGCTCAACCCAAGTCATTAGTGCAGCAGTTCATGCACTCTCCCCTGATAATGCGTCATCGCCGGCAAGGGTTTTAGCTTCAATCCCTTACTATCCGGTCAGTTCTGCTAACTTTGTTCTGTTTTCACTTGGAGCATAAATTGTTCACACATATATGATGTTGAAAATCAAAACTTTTACAGTTATATAAAATACAAACAGAGTTGTTTGAGTCAGTGAATTTCAAGTTTCAAGGAGATACGTCCCAATGGAAGAACAGTTCAGATACTGGTGCAAATATGATTGAGTTTGTAACATCACCAAACAATCCTGATGGACAGCTAAACAAGGCAGTTCTTCATGGTCCACATGCCAAAGCAATTTATGATCGAGCGTATTACTGGCCACACTTTACACCAATTCCAGCTCCTGCAGATGAAGATGTAATATTCACACTTTCTAAGCTTACGGGTCATGCTGGCAGCAGATTTGGGTAACAATCAAACCACCATTGTCTTGTGAACTTATCCATTCCAATACATCATCCCCGTTATAGCTGCTTTGTTTGCTATTATGGAAGTGGAGGGCATTCCCACCGGACGTAAATAGAAACCTATTCACATTTGCTTGTGTGCCTTGTATAGGTGGGCAGTGATAAAAGATGAGAGTGTCTTCGATAGAATGACAAAACACATCGGTGTAAATTCCATAGGAGTCTCTCGAGATAGTCAGTTAAGAACTTTGAAGCTTCTGAAAGTAGTACTTGAAGGGGAAGGAAGAGCAATATTTGAATTCGGACATGAGACAATGAAAATCAGGTGGGAAAACTTGGTCAAGGTGTTATCATCATCAAACCGTTTCTCTCCAGAAAATTGAACCTCAATACTGCACCTTTTTCCACGAAGTCAGAGAATCTTCCCCAGGTAATTCTGTCACCCTCACTCTCCAGCAAAACAAAAATGATGCTTACATTACACACACACACACAAAATGCAGTCATGGAGCTTTAGCTGCTGTAGGTCTCCATATCTGTCTGCTTCTCATCTCATTCATTTCCATTTTCTCATAAAGCTAAAAAGTTTTATATATATATTGGAGAACTGATGCATAGTGAGTCCGTAATCAATGGCAGCTTATGCTTGGCTGAAATGCGAGAGGGAAGAAGAAAATGATTGTTATGCAGTCCTCAAAGCAGCCAATGTTATTGGCCATGGAGGAGGTGTGTTTGGTGCAAAAGATCGCTATCTCCGCCTTAGCATGATCAGAAGCCAAGATGATTTTGATCTACTTATAGACCGCTTGAACAAATTAGTTTCAGAGGAAACTGGTGGCAGAATCATGTGAAGAACGCAACCTCATCTATTGACGGAAAGTTGTTAACAGAATTTCAATGCTTGTAATATAGAATACTTTTTAGACATACCTAGAGAAAGGTCATGTTCAGTGACCTGAACTACTGGGAGATGCATAACGTAATACCCTGTTCCTCAAACCTGTAAAGTAGTTGACACTGGCAAATGCCCATGCAATGCATCAAACTGATACATAAACCTTGGAAAGGCTTACAGATCAAAGCCTTCCAAACAAGTTTCCTTACAACACCAACACACTAGCCATAAATCACCCATGAAATCCCTTTACATAGTAAGACAACATCCAGGATAGCACCCAGCACTGTCTGTGACAGTCTAGGGACTTGACCCCAATCCGTTCGGCTTGCACTTGCTGGCCCTCCAAAGTTGGAAACACAAACTCAGCATACCATCTGTTCCAACACCCAGAAATCACCAATAACCATCCCCCATCCATGCCAATCCTGTTAAATTACAAGCAGCCTTAAATATACAAAAAACTCCAACACTTTCCGACACTATTTTGATGCCTCTGCTCTTTTGCACCCAGAAGAATGAGTTATTAGTTAAATTGTCATTTTGCTGAATCCTACTACCATCCTCCTCCCAGGTTTCTAACTTGATATAACACCATGTAGGTTTTTTCCATTCTTTCTTTTCAAATTTTGAAGTAAGATTTTTAAACAAAACCAAGAAATCCCAAACAAAATGTTGACATATATATAGCATTCTGAGGATAATACTTCCTATAGTAAGTGAACCAGAATTCAGTCCAGGAAAAGAACCAAATTGTTAAAATGTAATAATGAACCAGAATTCTGACTAGACACCCAACAACTTCGTTTGACTACAGAACGTAGAAAATCGAAGCTAAACAACATAGAGAACAAAAATGGAACTGCAATAATCTTCAACAATACATTTTCTAAGGTCAGAAAAAAGTGCAAGTTCACATTGCTTATCATTGTCCTATACAGATTGCCTGTTGCTAGAGAGATTGCTACAAAAGTAAACCAAGAATAGTTCAAAATAACCTAAGACAAGCATTAGACTAGTTGCACAGATGGGCAAAAAGATATTCTATTTCCCTTACCAATCATAATTTACATGAGTTATTACACAAAGTGACAATGAGAGTTCATACCATAACAGACCTTTTAGGTGACTGCCGGTGTTTTAAAAGGTTGAATTTTATTCTCCTCCTCAGTAAAAAGCATAGAAATGCTAGAACAACAATCAAGACTAAATAAACTTCAAAGTGAATTCCCCAAAAATAATCTACCAAAAGGTGCCTGCTCTTGTGACCACAATTGCAACCACAAATACTTTGCAGTAAAGTCCCCTCAGAAGTGACTCCTGGATCAAGAATAAAGTCTACAGTCATGGCTTCTTCTCCCAACCAGATACTTGTGGCCTTTGATTTGTACCCAGGCACAGCAGCCATAACTGCAAGCACATTCATCAGTTTCCATCATACAGGTTGTAATTGCTTGAACAAGATATTTCAATGCTTATAAACCAAGGTGACAGGTAATTAGTCATTAATAAAAGTCACTGTGACCCCTATAAATATAAACTAGGCATTCTCTACTGGGTTTATAGGCAAAAGATCATAATTTATATTCACAAAAGAAAGCAACAAATTACTGCTTTATCATATAGCTCTTTCAGAATGTGGCATGATTTGAAAAATTGTAATTGATAAAAAAAATTGCCATCAAACCAATATCCTGAACCATAAACTGCATGGAATTGTTGCTTGACAATCAACAAGAGATAAGCAAAATGTTTGGAATATGTATTCAACCAGCTCCGAAAAAAAAACAAGTGCAAGCCTAATCTAACAGCTTCTTCAGTTGCACAATGCTATTGTTGCTCTTTGACCAACTACTACATGTTAAATTCATCGTATTACACTTATGTTTCCCCTTCAAATCATTCTAATGCCATCACCAGGAGTCTCTAGATATCTCCCACCTTACTAACAATTCCCGAAAAGAGCCTTAAATGATGCTAATAAACATTTTATACCTTCATATCTTTCTACTGGAACAAGTATGCGGTGATAATCAGCAAATGCCATGCCAGCTTTAACCTGTCATGACCAGGGGAACCAAGAAACAAGTTATTATGAGAAAGCAACAAGTCAAGCCCATCAGTTGATTAGACAGTGTCAAAATATTTAAATAAGCAGCAACGATAGTATTTTGTTGACAATAATTATAAGATTAATTCAGTAACAATCAACACGAGTACAAGCAGCATGGATACTGCTGTAAAGAATCTCCCAGAAAAAGTGCTGTGAAAGACAACTCCAATCAAAAGCACTTGCTACATCTTACAGAAGAGGTTCTAAGAAGAAGGGTGACAGCAACTAAGATATGAAGCATGGATACAGATGTAAAAAGGAGTCCAAAAAATTTGCTAAGATTGTATGGCGAACCATGATTTTTCTTTTCTAAAGTGATTGCTGCAAAGTAATATGTGGTCTCCTAACCAGCAAGGGTTGGTAAATAAAGGAAACCAACTATGATGAACAGGTTCAAGGTAAATCCAGGTGCTTTAAATTTCTTCAGAAATTACATCCTAAAATGAAAGAAGTGAAGTTAAGAAATTCCAAAATGCTTCCTGTTCTCGCATAACAGGTAGGAGAAAAAACTGCCATTTAGAAAACCATAATAACGTCCTGGCCGAAAAAAAAGAAAACAGAAGACCATGATTATGTAAGAAGAATTAAATTTTCCATTCTAAGGAAACAATTGATCGTCAGTGATCATAGTTGATGTCATGCAAAATTTGAAGAGAATTTGTTAAACAAAGACGAGAAAGTCAATTACTATCCTTTAATGCCAGTGACTAAACATTCAGATTGATACATTTCAAATCAGAATCCTTACAGGATGATTTATGCAAAAATAAATGGGAGATTTAAGGATATATCTGTCTCATGACTGCATGTATAGCTGTGAACACACCGTGTAATTTATTCCCTTGATCGTGATCGACCCAGGCAACGGCCTTCCTCTATCTGATGAAAAGACCCTTCCATGAACTCCTGTCTAAAAATGTACAAGTCATGTAGATCAATGATTCATAGACAATAAACTGCGAAAATATTCAACTTTGTTGAATATTTAAGGTTGTTTTACAATTCCATCAAAAAAGGAAAGAAAAGAAAAAGAATGTTATCCACAATGCCTCCAATAGAATAGATGACTTTAGAACAATTTTATACAACCATGAAGCAGAAAGAAAAGGAAATCTATTTCATTTTTCAATACAAGACATGTTTAAAACCAAAGAACAATGTACCTTCACAAGGCTCGCAACAAGATTTAGCATGCTTATTTTGTTGTACTCCCAAATGGTAGGAAGCTGCACATTTTTATTCGGAAAATAACATAAATAAAAGCAACAGGATGATAGTAAAAACAAGAATGCATGTTAAATAATTAATTGTTCAAATCAGGCAGAAAGGAAAAATAAAATTGAAGTACCACCACCAAAACCCAAGGACCAACTAACTGAAGAAGATTTAAAACTAACAAGCCAACAAAAAAAAGAAATTCGTTGTTCCACATATATTAAAGAGAAAGAAAATTAAAAAGGAAGAATGATCATGAATGCAATAATATTTATCTAAAGTATCCATAGAATAAGGCTAACCTTAATTGCTATAAATGTTCCTCTTCATTTTCATAGTAATGTTAAGCAATTCAAGAGGTTGATCATGCAACTTGACTTTCACCATGGACATTAAAAGCACGTCGATCTGCTAAGTTTCTTAATGATCGAAAGCGAGTCAGAAAAGAGACAAAACCAAAAAAGGCAGAAAAGAGGGACATTGACAAGACATTGCAAAGACCAAAACTCCTAAAGCTAATTTGGCAATATAATTTCTGATATTCTTCAGTAACAACATTACAGTGTTTGAATATTTGACAACATGGTGATGAAATAAAAGACCATAAGGCCTATTCTAAGAAAAAAGCATATAATATAAAGTAGAAGGCCACCATACTAAATTTGCCACAATTACAGAAAACTTGTGATATATGAAATAGTTTTAAACATTCTGTACCACATTCACATAGCCTGTCCCCAAATTGCATTAAGCACACCTTCAAAAGAATTAACTAACTACTCGGTTTTCAAAGAACCATGGCAGAAAGACACAATAAGATTCTACATCCCAATGCTTAAGGTTCTAAGTAAAAACAATCACTTTATATGACTCTAAAAAGAACTTTTATTTATTTGAACTCTGTTCAGGATAACATATAACCAAAAGAAGGAACGGAAACGTTGAAGAGAGCTGAGAGATTCTTTTTATTAAAATAAGACCACAATATTAAGTTTCTGAGCTAGAACGAGTTTATCAAATACATAATAAAAAGTGAAAATACAAAGTTTCTTCAAAAACCATATCAACAATTTTTCTCCCCAAAAAAACAAGGGTTCTTCCACAACTTCTACAGAATATATTGACACTATCATGCAAGTCTGAATCCGAGTGAGAACATACTAATATTATTAAGAAAAAGATGACTTAGATAGAATTCTAACCTCCTTAGCATTAGGCCATTTGTTATCACTAATCTCCAAGGTCAACTCAAAACAACCACCATATATGTAGTTCCAATCTTGCATGCCACCGTATATGGGGTACCTGCATTAAGTTGAATCAATGGGTGTACAGCATAACAGGAAAAGATAATAAAAGAGGACTTGTAAAACAGAATATGGAAACTTAAGTATAAATGACGAAAAAGTTACATGGTTTGTAGGGTAATTAATTTCTCTAATCATAATCTGCAAACACGTTGCTTACCAGGATGCTCCATTTGTAATGCCTCCTTTAAATTCCTTGCTCAAAGACATGTTATAGTGAGATTGGCTATATACACTTGCCAGGAACCGGAATGTTCCATCATCAGGACAAGCATAATAATTCCTCCTGGTATTCATACACATGAACATGGGAAGTTATGTATCGTATTTAAAAATGTATTCTGCATCAATGAAATAAAAGGCTTGATGGTACATGAACGCTATTCTTTACAATGTTCATAAGGTGAAGAATTGTAAAGAGTCACATTGCTATACAGCAACATTGTGACAAGTGAAACTTATTATTAACGTTGCCATTATTAACAATAGAAAAGGCATAGCAACCCACAACCATTCAGTACTGCAGAAAAGATCATGGCGAAATCAACAGCACCCATTAAAGATTGTGTTGCTGGCCAAAATGTAATTAAATCAAGTATATGCTGAGCCATAAATACAAATTAAAATGATCGAAGGGAACAAAAGCCTGGATACCACATTATGGAAATATGCAATCTATAATATGGTAACTGATGAAACATCCAATTTCTCAACATCTAATAATCAAATCAAGAAAATCTTGACTGAAAAGGAATCATACTGGCTTGACTAAACCACGAATAAAAGCTCGAAGCCTAGCATGCCCAGATGTAAAAGCTGATAGTTTAACACACCTAGGAAAGATCTTTGAGTTCATAAGACACAGGAGCAACAAGGAACTTAAGTGATTGAATAGGTGTAAATTTAAAATTTAAAAGCTGATAATGAATGAAGAATAATCACCTTTTATCCTGAGTGCCATCCCATGGATAATTTGCAACGAGTGCACCCTGCGAACAACAAAATGTTATTAAGAACTCCTCTCCTCATGTTTCTTGAAAATAGTTTCTAAGTAAGATTAAATTCACAACCTCATCTATCAACATTATTATCATATCATGAGACAGAATTTCATAAATACATTATTAGAAGGTCCAATCTTTCACTAGATCTGGATGCTAACCATCTAAATTGGTGATACCACAACTTTGGAAAATTAAAGCACATTAGGACTGGAAAAATATGCCAACTGTATGTATGGGCACACATTCACTGATACGCCAAGTTACTTTTGAAAAGCTATTTTGAGATTGCTAAAAGATAAGAACAGGCAAGCACACTGTCTTTTTACAAAAAGAGTATTCTCATTTTTATATTTGCTTCATTTTCTAACCCTTTTTTTATTGAAACAGAATTTAAGAAGTTTATACCATAAGATATTGGTCAGGTTGGTGGACAATCTTATTATTTAGTAAATCTCAAAGTCTTAACTTATAGCAAAGTACTGAATAAGCCAGAAGCCTTACTAATAAGTCCATTCATGATAAACATGCATACAAACTTTTGCACATGCAATTGTGGTCAATGTAGTCAATCTACTCCAAGATCATTGGAGCATTACAGTCCTATGCTAACTGTGGATATAGGATTCATATCACTTCTATCAATTCAATCAGTGTAAATTTCAGTTTCTTGAATAATCAATTTCACAAACACCTTAACAGCTCATATTTACTGAAATATCATGGAAACCATTTCTCATTTTTATCAAAGTTTACACAATCTTCTATCCTTTCTCATATACATATCTACATGCATGTCTCCAAACTCGGAATTCCAGAGACTCATTCACTCAACATTTAGCAGATTCTCATGGCATACTACAGAACTGAACATTGTTGACATTCAAATTCATACATATTGGTCAGAATAAATAATCAGGTACATTGCATGCAACATTATAATAAGAAGCAGAATAGAGTCCTTATGATTAGCTTCCAATTTAGCACTAAATTTATCTCACAAAGTTGTTTACAACTTTTTTGGGAGCCTTATAAGAAAATCAAGTCTATAACTTCACTAGATTTATGAGATAGAGTTGGGTGATGAAAGCATCTTTGGTATTTCAAATTAAAGTAAAAAAAAAAAGGCCGTTCCAAGACAGTAAAATTGGGAAGGGAAGTTTCTCCTCCTATCATTTATGATTTGACTCTTCTATGTTATCATGTTTATCTTCAAATGCAGTCCTTCACCACCTTTACGCCAAGAATTTAAATCAATCTAAATTCAACACAGAAACTGAAAGCAACGGCCATCATCAATATCAAATAACAATAGCACTCAATGTTTAAACTCAATATGACATGAAAAGTGAGAACAAAATATTACCCCATGCAAACTTGCAGATGCTGTGAAATGTATCTCTCTCAACCAACTCATAATTGCTTTTGTTTCAGGTTGTCGTGCATCCTCATAATCATTCCAAGGAAAGAACTGGCAGATTTCATTTGTCATGGTCATTTAATCATGGAGAAAAAAGGAGCAAATCAAATAAAATCAAGGAATAAAAAGCAACCTATAGCAATACAATCAATTATCAAACTACCAGAAGAGTGCAAGTACAAAAATCAGGATCCAAAAATAAATTTTGCCAAAAAAATGAATCCTTAGTTGGAATCATTTTCAACGATTTCGATGAAAACTACAAGTAGAAAACATATCCCATTCTAATATTATACCAAATGAAAAATATGATAGCAACATTCACACCATCCAGAATTTTATTACCTAAAATTAAACACTGGATTTGAGGAATTAGGATCTTAAAACAACCTTTCATTTCAAGTTTTAGCTCTGTCAAATTAATCCAATGATACCAAGATGTTCTAAAATGCTTTTCTTTTTCTAATCCATCTTCTTTAAAAATTATAGGAATATAAGCATTGCTCCCAAGCTGTTTATCTTTACAGAGAATGCCACGTCTGAAATTTTTATTAAATTCTACATGTCTGAAGTTCAGCAAGGCGAAACCATCTACAAATAAGGATGTGCAAGGGTTTTTCATATTTAAACAAAACTATTACAACATATAAAAAGATCAAAAGGAGCAAATGGATCAATTCGTATCACATCCTTAGAAGCACATTTGCCATTGCGTGGCTTTCCTAATTTAGTCTACATACCTCTTTCCTGCATGATGCTAAGAAAGTGTGGTAAGCCCTGCAATTTAGAATATGAATCCTGATTTGAAGAGCATAATCCTTGACACTTTAATGATTCAATTAGGGTTTTTTAACTTGAACTTGTTGATGAAGTTATAGAACACTAAAATAGACCTTTCCACTTTGGATATATCCCAATCTTAGAAGACTCCATTTGCTTGTGGTTTTTAAGGTTCAACTTGGATTCAATCACCTCTAAATAAAACTGACATCGCAAAAGAGTTACCTGATCTGGAAAATCTCGATTTAGATCAATACCATTTGCATTACCACGCCTCCTAAGAGAAAACCCATCAGGATTCATTGATGGAAGTATGTGAAGGTGAACATTTTCGACAATCAATTTAACCTGTACTATCAATAAATGTTATAGGTTAGGCAATTTTTTTAATATTGAAAATAAGTTAGAGACATTATAAAAAACATTTTAAAATCATTAAAGATGAACGTAACGCATGCATGCATAACCAGACAAAAGTAAAGGGACAGCAGATTTAATCAACAGACAACCAGGTAAAAGGATAATCTTATGAAAATAACACTTGCAAGTTTGAGGAAGGATAAATAAACTAGTTTTTCTATGGGAGTTACAATTCTACAGCCATTTTGGCTGGGAAGATGCAGCCATATGAGTAGTAAGACACTCACATAACTGCATCTGAATTCATTCATGCATATGGTGTGTTGTAAATAGACATGAATCCTTTTTTGCTGATTGAATGTCTAAAAACATCAGCATATAATACCCAATGCAAATACAAAATATTTCAAACTGTTCAGATGTATAATTCAGTTCTCAAGCAGACCAATTTTTACAGCGACCACAATGTGCGCTCTGTTTAGGTAAAAAACCATCTTACTGAAGCCCATCCACACCACTCTCCAAAATAAAGATATTAGATGTCACTAAAATGCCTTAGAAACAACTTGAATATATGTAAGTATCTTAAAATAGCCCCAAGCTTCAACAAATCACTACAGAGCAAACATAATGATATGAAAGAAACCACAGTGCATAAACCCAGAACTATTTATCACAAAACAACAGTGAAAAATGCATATAAATCTTGTCCACAACATCATGCCAAAAATAGGAGAGATACACTTACATTCAGTAAAAGGAATAGAAAAATACCAGTGGATCTCTCATATAGTTGTCACATATCCAATTTGCAAGAAGTATGAGAAGCTCGCGACCAACAGGTTCGTCACCATGCACATTACCAACAAACTACAATATCAAGCACATCAAGCTTTGCGTTAACCCATGGAAAAAAGAATAGTAGTTCATTAAATAGGAATTAAAACTACATTTATAACAAAAATTGGGCCATGACGATGCAACAGAAGGGAAAACAAACTTCAAACACCATATATAGAAAACAAAAAGAACACCATCATGCTGACAGGATAGGAAATAAGTTTTCATAAACAACACATGTTTGTAACAATCACATCCTTTATTTAATCACCTTGTTATATAGCTTGAAACAAAATTAGATCATAGCACCTCTAAACCTCAGTTACAAACTTCATGGGCAGAATGTAAAGCAAGGCAATAGTTTCTAGGAAGAAAAGCCTAAAGAATCAGAAAAGCCCTATAAAACAGAGATCTTAGCAACTAAATTACGAGCATAAATAATTTAGTAGGCTTATAGTACATTACAAAGAAAGTTAAAGAAACAACTCAAATTTCAGGGTGCCAGACACTCAATGGTGGGATACTTGATCAGGGACAGGGTACATTTTAAGAAAATGAACTAGAGAAAGTTGGTGAAGCGAAAAAGCTTTTATTATAGAGCGGGAAGGGTGAAAAGAAAGTTCTAAATTTGCAGTGTTCATTTCTCATGCTTTTATTATTGGATTTTTCAAATGCAAGTCAACTTCCACTTATGTTACAGCATTGCTGGTTCCAATGTTTTTCCTCCCAAAAACACCTGAGATAGCATACTCGTTGAGAAGATTTAACTATAATCAGGTATTTCTGTATTGATGCTAGCTCTTTAATTCTTTCCTAACTTCTGTTAGCATACTACCAGGTTGCCTGCAAATCAGTTACCATATAACAGCAAGAAATATATATTTGTGTTTCCCCTCATACAAGCTTGTAATGTTTTGATATTTCAAATTTGGTTCTTTACTTTTATTAATTTCTTTAATGCCATTTCTAAGTTCCTATCCCTGTTAAAAGGGAATCATTTGTAAGCAGCCATTTCACACAAGCTTAAAAAATTTCTCACCAAACCCCAAGTCCTTCAGGGTAGAAAAATAAATTAGCAATCGCTAATAAATCAGTAGACATCCATGTGTGTGTATAAATATCAGAGCACTAGATCATTTACCTTGAATGCAGGTTCGGGTTCTTCCTCTCCTGGTTTGTCAGAAATCTCTATCACCCACTACAGAAAAAGAATCACTAAACACTGACTAAGATAGACATGAGATAAAGCCTTATAAACACAAATAATTTAAACCATTGTCATAAAAAGAGAGATCACTAGGAAAAATTTATCAACACCTATGTACAGAAAATGAAGCAAGTTCAAATGAAATTATTACCAGTGGAACACCTTTCACACTCGTTCCAATACTGAAGCCAAAATCCAAAAAGCCCTCGAAGAGAGTAATAAGGAACCAATCAGTATATAACCCTCGTGGAACACTAAACTACTCCATTCATCACCCCAATCTATCAACTTTTAGGAAGAAGCAAACTCCTACTTGATTTCATCATATTCTCTCACAGTGGAAATAGGGCAAGTTTCTAACCAATAAATGCAAATAAATAGAAATAATCACCTGTATATCCTAGAAATGTGACTACATCTTTGCCCAAATTCCTTCACTGCCTTTTCCAGTTCCGAATTAGTCATATAGCCACGAGCAATATCGATACTGCAAAAAATTTCCTCAAATTATTCCAAAAAAAGAACTAAAATTTAAGCAAAAGTATAAAATTAAATTAAATGAAAGAGGCACCTCGGCTGAGACTGGTTTTCCTCAAATAAATGCCTTGTAATAGCCGCATAACTATCATTTCTAAAACCTAAATTACACAGAGACAAAGAAATAAAATCTAAAACAGCGGAAAAAAATCAATCAAACATAATGATTAAAGGCGGAGTCGCAATAAAATCTGGTCAAACCATGTAAAAGTCAGAGATCAGCGGCTGCTAATTATTCTTAGGAACGTGAATTTATTTACTTATAATAGATGGATTAAGCAGAAGAGAAAATTAAGGATCTTACGTTGTAAACTGAAGCAATTAATTGAGGGTTAGCGAGAGAGGAAGAGGACCTGAAGAGAGAGAGGTACTGCGTTGGGCGCCTCTGGCGATAACGTGGCGAAGAAAGCAGGAGAAAAGGAGACAAATGACGAGATTCATCTTTTTATTTTTTTCCTAACTAATGTATGGGAGCTTCAGCTCAGCATCAGGCGAGTTGTCCTTTCTTCTAACGATCTTCAGAGACAGGAACAGAGAAGAGGGGGAAAGAGGGAGAAGACGGGAACGCATGTGGAGGGCCGCCTGATTTGAGGCCCAAGGTGGATTCGGCCATTGGGTCTCAGATTTGGGCTTAACCATTTCTGGTACAAGTCATACATTTATGACTTTTAATTTAAAATAAAAATTAATTAAATATAACAATTAAAAAATTTCATAAATTATTCAAAAAAATTTAAATAAACTTTTATTATTTAATTACATTTTATTAAATTCTTGTACTTTTAATAAAGAGTAAAAATTTTTAAAACTAATATGTTGAACTTAACTTACAATCAAAAAATTTATAATAAACAATAATTTTATATATTAAATCAAAACAAACAAGAAAAAAAAGACTTACCATAATTTTTTAAAAAAGTTGTATTCGGCGATATTTTTTGAATTCAAATTCATCAATTATTGATTATATGCTAAAAATACTAATGATATTTTTTTCAATATAAACAACTAAATTGTTTGTAAAAAACTCATCATTTATTTTATTCTGAAATCTTATTTTCACAATTTTTATTATTGAAAAGGCTATATGTAGTTACTATAGAAATGGAAATAATTAAAAACAAGGTGAATTAATCTATTAATCAAGTACTAATTTTTTGACTTTCCTGTTTCTGTTAATTTTAGACATAATTTAAAAAGTATCTTAATATCTTCAAAACTTTGGTGATACGGTATATCAAGCTCGTAATACCTCAAGTGTAACTTCAAAATAAGTCTTTCTTGCTCCATAAAATTTCGAAAATAAAAACTCTTTGCTAACTTGCAGATATCATTAATGTTGAATGATTTGCAATTATTCTTTAAATTTTAATAAAGGATATTTTTGTCATTCATCAATTATCCTTGATTATTTTTAAAATTATTCCTGCTAACTAAGTAATGAAATAAGTAATAATAGCAATTTTCATCCTATTCCATTCATAAGAACCAATCTATATAATAATTATTCTTTCTTTATTATATTTTCACAGAATAATTATTCCATTTCCATTCTATTCCTTCGTTTGAACCAAGCATGCTATCAAGACCTTCCTGGAAAGGTCATTCTCATAATGGTCATTCCATCCAACTAAATGTAGTCTTTTGTTGGTAATTGCAATAAGGAGAATGGAATAACCATTCCCTCCAACCAAACATGCTCTAAAAATAATTGAACTTTATTTAGTGCAAAATGAATGAAAAAATATATAAACAACGTTATCAATCTCAAAAAAGTAAGGGTTATTTGAGTTCAAAATGTGCTACATTAATTTCTAAATTGATTTTTGCATGTCCTTAAATTAAAATATATCTTTGTGTTGATATATTCGAAATTAATTACATTTTTATATTTTAATGTATGGTCATGAATATTTTCATTCTATAATTAAAAGAGTCTTTTCATAATGAGTTTCTTAAATTTCACAAAATAAAGATTTTATATTATATTAATTAAAAAAGCTCATATTATTACATTTTATATTTATAATTTAAAATAGATAAAATACATTTACACTTTCAACTTTTGATCATAGTTACATACGGGTTCATTACTTTTTTAAATGGATAGTTCACCTTAAAAAATGTCTTTCATTGGATATATAAGTTTTATCGTTAGTCAACCATCAATGTTTCAATTAGTTGAATGACATGGCAATATTTTTAAAAATAAATTTCCCTTTCATTAATTTTAAAAATTATCACTATATAAATTATTATTTTTTATTTTTTATTTTTTTATCTTATTAAAAAAATTTTCTAACTTGGCATTCACTCGATGTCAATCGATGCTCTTCCTTAATGGAGCGCTTAAGGAGCACCAATTTGATGCTCCTCAGGCTTGGGGAGTCGAATGCTCCCATACTCCCATGCTCCCATGAGGAGATTTGGACGAATTTGGTTAGGAGTGAACAAATGTCGTTCGATCGATTTTAAGTTTGGTTTTTTGTAAAATCGACCAAAAAATTAATCTCATCTAATTGATAAAATCGCATAGTATCTAAAGTCGATTTTGATTAATTTTAAGAGGCTTCAGTTTGGTCGATTTCGGTTCGATTTTTATGGTGAGTTGACTTTAATTTGGGGTTGACTTGGGCTGTAAAGGATTCATAGGCTAATAATGGTCTTGCTAATAATGATTAAGGATCCATGGGCAGAAACACAATGACATTAATTTGTTCAAGGACAGAAGGGCTAATAATGGTCTTGCTAAATCATTTCATGCTCTTGATTTTTCATGAGTACTAGTAGTAATTCATAATATCTCAAGCTTTCTCTTTTTTGTTGCTTTCACAAAATAACAAACAAACAAAAAATCTATAGTTTACCTTGCAGTGACAGTAATTTGGATTGATAATAAAGCAACAGTTGAAGAATGGAAGAGAACCCACTTAGGTGGTGGCTATTGGTTTAAGGTTTAGTATGAGAAGGAGAGGTGAAAAAGTAAGGGAAAATTAGGTTAGGGGAAGGGGAAATAATAACAGCAGCCAGCAGAAGTGTTGCTTTAGGGGGGTTTAATGAAGGGTAATTCTATATTTTTGCCCTTTTTTTTAAAAAAAAGGCTATCGGTCAATTAATTGGTTAGTTTGGGGGAGAAAGAGTCCCCCCGATGGCCGAGCTGATCGGCTGACAAGGTCGATCAAAACCATCGAAAGTTGCGGTCGGTTGCTCGGTTGCAATCAACTGCTGCACAGTGCTAAATCTAGCATTTCATAGTCTGATCCGACCATGAGATGGTCGACTAGTGTAAACAAGTATTACTGGTCAGCCTAAGAAAGGAAAAGAATAGAAAAAGAAGAAATGTATTTTAAACATTTCACGTTTAAGCATTAACGTAGTTTACAAAATCAAGGTAGGTTGTACATTTTTTAAACTAATGGACTTAATTAAAATTATGATCAAAAGTTGAAGGTGTCAGTGTATTTTATCTTTTAAAAATATATATAGCATATTTAAGGAATAACGCTCAAAATAGGCTCTTAACTATTCAAGAAAATTTAATTAAATTTTTATTCTTTTATTGTGTTTACTAAATCTATGTATTTTTATTTTAAGTCAAATAAATCTTTATGAATAATGATTGATTAATTGTCATTAATCAAAACACTACTTATCATTTTATACATATATGATGCTGAAGTGGAGGATGAAAAATGTTAAATGCTCATGTTATCATGTCACATTAAAATGTCACATCATCATCAATTATAATATGTTAGTATGTCATGTCATCATCAATTATGACATATTAATATTTCATTTTAGCGTCATATAGTATAAAATAATAAATAACATTTTGACTAAGTTAACTATTAACCATAAGAGCTTATTTAACTATAAGAGCTTATTTAACTCAAAGTGAAAGTATAAAGATTTATTTGGTTCAAATTAAACATATAAGAACTTGATTGAATGAAATAAAAAAAAGAGAGGTTATTTAAATTTTTTTAAATAATTTATAAATTTTTTAGATATTATGTTTATATTTAAATGAATATATTTATGAACTTTGGTCCGGAAACTTTAGAGTTGTTAGGACGGGCTTGTCCCGTGCTGAAATCCATGTATTAAATAGCGGAATAATTAAAACGCTGGACCAAAAAAGAAGTGAAGAGAGAATAATTAAATCTGAGGACTTTAGATCAGATGATGAACTGCACCTTTCCCAAAAAGTTGAGTTATTACAATTTCAAAGATGGTTAATTAATGTTTAAAACAAACCAAAAAATTAAAGCAAAATCGCTTTCATTTGTTTCATCTTCAATGGGTAATTCTTGAGTCCGTCCCAAAGTATCAAAACTTAAGCACCCCAAAGACCAAAAAAACAAAAAAACTTCCATTTAATGGTGCCCGTTATCAAATTTCAAGTCTCCCTAATTTTTTAACTTTTCAATATATATTTTTTTCTCAAATTAATATACAAGTGCTTTTCTTATTAAATTACATCAAAACAAATTATTAATATAATTAAAAACATAATATTCAAAAAATTTTATAAATTATTTTAAAAAATTTAAATAAATTTTTATTTTTTTATATTTAATCAAGTTTTTATATTTATATTTTAAGTTAAATAACTTTTTATAATAAAAAAATTAATATACAAACACACAGTTTCATCATTATGCATTATTAGTAATATTATAAAAATGTATTAAATTCAAAATTAAAAATATAAAAATTTATTTAAAATGTTTTAAAATATTACATCAATATTTAATTATAAAATCATTTATTAATCAATATTCTTCATTTAGCAAAACATTGACCTTAAAACAGTTGGAGCTAAGTCGTGGCAGGCGTATAAATGACTCCTATTATGTAGCTCTTAGTCAGTTGCTTTTAACTTTCAAACCGTCCCCAAAAAAAAAATAGTACTGGCAATGTTTGTCGTTATAAAGGAAGTTTTAAACAAGTCAGGAAAATTGCATCATGCATGTAGCTATCACAAGCCGTCCAATCTTTTCTCAAAGACAGAATCATTCTCTTCGGGTCCCACCGATAAAGTTTTACGACACGTGTATGATGAAATCAAGCAACACCTGAGCAATTTCCAGTCATTGAGCTCCAAATCATGGAGCTCTGAGAGTCAATTCATTTAAACGGACAAAGCTCTCCCACTATTATTTATTATTATTTTAGGAAGACTATGGTATCGTTGGAAGTTACCTCCACGCTTTTTTTGATAGCCTTACAGAATATAATTATTAAACCTAATTTGGCTCATGGAACCGACACAAACATTTGATTGGTGATTTTATTATTTGTTTAGGGTTTTTTTTATTACACAAGTGCAAACCGACATTCACCCCTTCACGTCTTTTTGTGTTTTGTCTTTCTAGATTGTTCTAATGAACATCCTTTCTTTTCGTTGTAATGATTCTTTCATTTAAATAATATAAAAATACTTTTTCGATTATTCTTGATCTTGATCTTTGTAAAATTATCGAGATTCAATAACTCTTAAATTACATAATGAAAGATATATATTTTTTCCAATGTTATGAATTTCA